TGAAGGGGGAAATCGGGGCTAAATCGAGGGAAGGGCAGACGCTTCAGAACGCGGCCAAAATCGACGCGGAGACGAAGATCATATCGACGCAGAGACAGGGAGAGGGGAAGAAAGAGGAGATTAAGGTGAGAACGGAGGTCAAGGTGTTTGAAAATGAAAGGGAGGCGGAAGTGGAGGAGGCAAATGCAGAGCTCGCCAAGAAGAAAGCGGCATGGGCTAAGGCGACGCGCATGGCGGAAGTGGAAGCAGCAAAAGCTGTGTCGCTCAGAGAGGCGGAGCTACAGAAGGAGGTCGAGAAGATGAATGCATTGACCACCACTGAGAAGCTCAAGGCCCAATTCTTGAGCAAAGCCAGCGTCGAGTACGAAACCAAGGTGAGTTTTAAACTTCAAATCTGACCATCTCGAAATTGAAATGTGAACTGAAAGTTTAACAAGAACAATCTGTGATCGGAAGGTACAAGAGGCAAATTGGGATCTCTATGACAAACAGAAGAAAGCAGAAGCTGTCCTGTTTCAAAAGCAGAAAGAAGCGGAGGCACAAAAGGCAATGGCGGACGCAGCATTTTACTCTCGCCAGCAAGCTGCGGATGGAGAGCTGTATGCGAAGAAGAAAGAGGCGGAGGGACTGGTGGCGCTGGCGCAGGCCCAAGCGCTGTATCTCCGCTCTCTTCTCAACGCTTTGGGCGGAAACTACACCGCTCTCAGAGATTACCTAATGATCAACGGGGGGCTGTTTCAAGAAATTGCCAAGATTAATTCGGAAGGTGTGAAGGGGCTTCAACCTAAGATTAGCGTGTGGACCAATGGGAGCGGCGGACATGATTTGGAAGGAGGCGGAGCGGCAATGAAAGAGGTGGCCGGAGTTTATAAAATGCTGCCGCCATTGTTTCAGACAGTTCATGAGCAAACTGGAATGCTTCCTCCGCCATGGATGGGGGCCATGGCTGACTCTAAACGGAACTGAAGCATGGCGACAATAATGGGTTTGGCCTTTTCCTCTCTCTCATTTTTCGATTCTATTAGTATTAGCCATGATTTTTTAGTTTGTTTCTCCAGCGAGTTACTTGAGACTTGAGAGAATGCTAAACTATTTATTTTTCACTATAAAGTAAAACCAAACAACGTTTTACAGGGATTTAATTCATTGCCTATGCCTTTGCCAACCAGGTACAAGAAAATCGATACATATTCAAAAACGTATTTCATATAGTGGGAGAATTAAATTACACTTTTCAAGCACTTCTTAGTACAACTTTCTCAAGATCCCCAGTTAGGAATGTTTGCCGTGGCCTCGTTAACCATTTTCACCAGTGTCACCTGCAATTCAATAATGGAATATATTACATATTATTCTCTCACTCATCTCATCAGCATCACTAGAAAGCTACAAAGTGTGTTGAAAATTCATCAACTTCTTGATCATAGTTAGGACACGTACCACGCTTTCGGGGACGCCGGGTGGTGGGAGGGGAAGGTTTCTCGGCGGTACGACAGCATCGTATGATCTTTTGTCGAACCTCCATTCTCCAATCTTCCCGTAAGTCAGTTCTCCCTGAGTTCCAAAAGGTAAGCAATGGTATATAACAGATGAGAGAAATTGATATGAACGTAATCAACATTTGTTTTGCTTGTGTTACCTTCATATTGTAGTCACATCCGTAAGTATAATGGATTATGAACTTCTCACCTACTTCTTTATCCCACGGTGGCTGTGGAATGTAACATCCCTTAAGTTAGTTAATACAGAAAATCTTAATGTTCATCACCTATGGAGTTGGATGAAATTTCATGTGGTTCCGTAGAAGAAAGACGTTGAACAGAAATAGCATCGAGAATGGATACCAATGTTATGTTGTATACAAAAAGACAATCTAATCAAAACAAAAAAGTGGAGAGATTTTCTCTTAGAACCTGAATCATGAAGTCCTTATACAGGATGTTACCAACACCATGTAGAGCAGATGCAACAGCATAAGCATACCTATAAGGAGGAGAAGAAAGGAAA